GGGCAGCGAGGCTGTACAATTGAGAGGCGATCTTGACTCTGTTGACGCATTTGCTATGGACGAAGACTCTTTATCTAAGCTACCCAAGGCGCAACAGCCTGACAGCATCCAGTCAACATTGTTGCCGTATCAACTCCAGGTACGACGCTCGCGGCTTGCTGTTTGGTGTCCATCTACTAACGGTCACTATAGGGACTCGCCTGGATGCTTTCCAAAGAGGACCCACAGCTACCTGCCGCTGGGTCAAAGGAGGTTGTTCAGTTGTGGAAGCGTACTGCCCATGACAACTTTACTAACATTGTCTCCAACCATATCACGAAGGAGCCACCTAAGCTAGTCTCAGGTGGCGTGCTTGCTGACGATATGGGTTTAGGCAAAACCCTTCAAGTCATCAGTCTCATTTTGACAAGCGGCTTTAAAGAGGGACCAACCCTGATTGTTTCGCCTGTAGGTGTCATGAGCAATTGGGAGCAGCAGATCAAGCGACATGTAAAGGAGGACCAACTTCCCCGCGTCTTGCGATACCACGGAACCGGTATATCGAAGAAGGATCTACTAGCGAATGACATCGTCATTACCACCTACGACAAGCTGCGGATCGACAACAGCAAGAAGGGACCTCTCCTTTCCGTCGAGTGGCACCGAGTAGTCTTGGACGAGGCCCATGCGATTCGAAACTTTTCCACTAGTAGGGCAAAAGCTGCATTTCAAGTACAAGCGAAATCTCGCTGGATGCTGACCGGTACTCCAATGTAAGTCTTTTTGTTTTCCCGGAGGTCTTTTCTCGCTCTGCTATTTATCTATGTACGACCGCACTAACTTGCTGCGCTTTAGCATCAACTCACCCAAGGATTTCCTATCGGCGTTGATGTTTCTCAAGATCACTGGAGGCATCGAAGAGCCTGGAATTTTCCTACGTATCGTCGACAAACCTCTATCGAGCGGCAGAGCTTTCCAAGATAGTACCGAATTTAAACTTGCCAAGCAACTATTCCAATCGTTGACGAAAGATCTTTGCCTTCGCCGAAGAAAAGACATGAAGTTCGTCGACTTGAAGCTGCCTCCCAAGACCGAATATATCCATCGCATCAAATTCACGGATGATGAGCAACGTAAATACGATGCTTTACTGTACGTGTTGAACGGGATTTATGACTCTGTTTGATGGTTATTGACGATTATAGCTCGGAAACCACGGAGATGTTGGAGGCGTATCGACGTAGAAAGCAGAGCGCCAAAGGACAAGGCAACCAGATCCGATTCACAAGTGTGCTGGAGAAGCTTCTCCGCCTAAGACAAATGCAAGTACTGGGCTGCGTCCTTCTGATATCTTACCATTGTACCATCGGCTTCGAGCTCCATGGCTAACGGTAGTGCTTTAGTTGCAATCACTGGTCTTTGATTGGGGACCGAGTGAAAGATGTCCTGAAGCCTCTGGACGGAGAGAAACTGGTCAAGTTCACCCCGGAAAACCTGAAGATTCTACAGCAGGCTCTTTTAACCGCTACCACCGAAGGAGAGGAGTGTCCAATCTGTATCGAAGCAATCAGTGTCCACACACCCGTCATCACGGCATGTAAACATCGTTTCGGAAAGCCGTGCATTACAAGATCTCTCGAGATTAAAGACACATGTCCTATGTGCCGTCAAAAGCTAACGCTAGACTCCCTTGTTGGACTTGAACCCGTCGACAACGACAACGAAGAATTCGACGGCGACACGCGAAGCTCCAAGACGCAAGCTTTGGAGAAGATCCTGACGGCAAAGCTGAAAGATCCAAAGTCCAAAATTATCATATTCTCCCAGTGGACCTCGTTCCTTCACGTCATCGGAAAGTTACTCGACGACGCAGGACTTAAATACTGTAGCATCGAGGGCTGGATGAAGATAGCTAAACGTGACGAATCGATCGAGGCCTTGAACAATGACCCGGACACTCGCATTATGCTTGCTAGTCTAGCTGCAAGTGGTGTGGGATTGAACCTGGTCGCTGCTGACACGGTGATACTCGTGGATTCTTGTAAGTATATCACCGTGCTCTTTTATTTGGTGTCGGTGTATTAACTGGAAATAGGGTGGGCACCAGCCATCGAGGACCAGGCCGTCGACCGAGTACACCGCCTCGGCCAAACACGCGAGACGACGGTCTGGAAGCTGGTCATGGATGGCAGCATCGAGGAACGTGTTCTCGACATCCAGGCCAAGAAACGCGAACTGGTCGACTTAGCCTTCCAAGACAAGGTCAGAGAGAAGAAGGAAACTAGCCGTCTGGACGACGTCCTTCAACTACTCTCATAAACCTTTCCTTTCATGCCTTAGGTATTAGGATGCTGATCTAGATGGATCTTTACCAGCTCTAGATGTATTTCTCATTGTATTCATGTCGAGCGGCGTTAGGTGAAGATGGGTCACAAATCTACATGTATTGCTGCAAAGCAAGGTTTCTAAGCGACCTGAAACCTTTTGCTCCTGGTTATACTGTACCGTACTGTAAATGATAAATTGCGAATGTCTTCCCAACAAGTCCATTCCATAGCTCCAGATAGGCTATTGCTTTGATTCTATACACATCGCTCGTTTATTCCGTGTGTGAGAGCATCATCACGTTGTATGACTACTTCGCAATCGCCGTCCGTGACTTGATCAAGAACAGCGCCGACACGTGGATGAGATCAGGGTCCTCCCGGGCTAACCTAGTTAGTTAGGCAATCACCGGCGGCACCAATATTGCTACGTCTGCCGGTGTGTGTGCTTCTTGGGCCGCGGGCTTCGTCATGTGAGCCTCGAGTGATATCCGAAACGTATTTCCCGCAACACGCCGCTTCAGTGACCAACATCTGCTCGGAATGGTGCTGTCCGGTCCATTCAGCGCCATTTCGATTTGTACCGATAGGTGCCTAATTCAAAATAGTAGTTTGAGTGGTATTGAGATTAGTAATGCCATCAACCATCCAGAATTACTTGGCGTAAGTGTCGCGGGTGAGTTTGACTGATCAAGGATGCGTACGAATCTATGAATATGAATATTACGAAGGGGTTAATCCATCAATTCGCATAGTCATAGTATTTAGCCAATCAGAAGCTGCAATCGAACTCCAATATCTCCTAAAGGGGAGATATTCCGGTACATGATCACCTCGGAAGGTCCTCTAGTTGACATCCCACCCACTCGGAGGCTTCTTTTATAGCCACACCCTCCCTCCGATTGATGACTCAGGTCTAAGGGTAGTTGATTTGCACCATGGCTGCATTCATCGTGGTTGCTACAGACGCACCGGGGCATATGCAAGACTCGCTCACGAACCTCAACACGAGGATTGATGATATTATTCCTCTAGTGTCATATATCGTCTGCAGGGGGGGATGTAGACGGTTAGAACTCTTTTTAAAAGTGAAAAATGTAAGACCATGCTGGAAAAGTTGAGCAAAAAAAAGGAGATGGAGTCAGGCGCAACATACCACTGGTTTATTTTTCAGGTAGATACCTATATATTAATATAGACTTGGTTGGTATATGCATAGGTCATGCATTATATCTCGGGTACTGAGGAAGATTGAAGTGAAGCATTGCAAGACCTTGCATCACCACCTACTCCAAGTGTATCCTAAGATGCAGCATGATACACCGGCAAGAATGTAATATAACATAGAAAAAAGTGAACGAAAGAAAATGTAGAGATAAAAGAATAAACAAAAGGATTAAAAAAAAATAAAAAGCTCGCAACCCCTCGCTCGAACCTCTACCATTTGATCTGGACAAATTGGTTTCCCAGTGGGCCAGAAAGGAGTAACCAACCGCCGTTCGAACCCAAGGCTGCGCTGAAAAACCCCTGGCGGAGTTATTTCTAGCCCTCAAGCCCTTACCATTGAGTCAAGTGGCCTTCGTAAACGATTGACTCGCCGGAGGACGCAGGGATACTGGATGGTCCTGCTGCTGGGCTATTTAACCCTTCTTTCGATTGGGGGTCCACCACCTACCGCTGGCCAGCTCCCCAGCAACGACGACATGGTGGGGTATGATGCTGGGCGAGCGCGTGCAGCTTCAGATGGATTAAGGGCAATATAATAATTACGTTGATAATTACTTCGCATGCATGCGTAGGATATAGCTGTCTTCGCTTGGTCCTCTCGGGGCGCCGATTCTGTCCTCCCCCCCCCTTTTTTTAAAAAAAATACTTATCGACCTGGGCAAATCATCGTTAGTAGCAATATGTATACCGGCAGCGTTTTGCTAGTACGAAATGCAATGCTACTAGGAAGGCAAAATTCTCTACATACCTTCACGGCGACTAGCCTCGATGATGAACTGGCACCATCCTTGCCTTAACCCCTTTCACCTTTTCGATCAAGCCAACGAGCAACAGGTAATGATAGCGGTCCCCTATCCAATGAGTTTGAAAAATAGCAAACTATCCAGGTAGTTAATACAAAGTATAGAAAAAAAAAAAAAGATCACAAGGTCAGCCATTGCTAGATTCGAACTAGCGGGTTTCTCATATATGGCACAATACTCCCCTCCAGGTGCTCGACCACTGCACCAAATGGTTCTTGAACTTTTTTTCCCCTGGATTATAAGGCAACTTAGTAGAATGGTATAAATATGGGCGTCTAGCTTTGGTCATCGAATACCTGAACCTGAATTTTACTTTTAAGAAGTTGCCTATCACAGAATGGCCCAAGGATAGTACGTTTCTAATCCGAGACAATATTCTCGTCAACGTTCTCGAAGTAGAAGATGCCAATATAGCTACCTACTCCTTTGTATAAGAGTCTCCAGCTTGGATCTCCCGCAATATGATATGTCAAATGTCTATTCGCTAACACTTCCACTCTTCAAAATCATAATGTATCCGTTCTCGGATTTACGACGTCCACGGACAATACAAAACGATTCAAAGAGCTGAAAAGGGGGGGGGGGGGGGCTTGAGCTGATACTGGAAGCGCAGTCGTTATAACAGTCACAACCATCAGACTTATTGGAGAGAACAAACAAAAAATACCAGCGCCAGACGGGATCGAACCGTCGTTTACACGTATGTTGCTTTACCGATAACGAACTGCAACGTGCTGTCTTACCACTCGACGATAGCGCTCTATATCCAGTCGTCGTCGTCGTCGTCCTAGAACTTCTAGGGCTGCGACGGCAATATACATTTTTCTTATCTAATAGACCTTATATACATACCATAATTCTATTTACTGTACCTAAGTTGAGCATCCTGTTCTAGAGGAGTAATAATAGGAGTAATCATGCTTAGGTACCTAGGTATCGCAAGGTCATACTCTTGGAGCAGATACTCGATATCAACGTTAATTAGAGGCAGAGTTATTTCCCTACTTCCTCGTGAAAAGGGATCCTTGATAGTAGTCAGATTACATGCACACATCCACATCTCAGCTTCTTGTATCCAACTTATCTGGAGAGTAGGTGCTTGTGACGGATGTGTCACATACATCATATCAGTTTCTTCATAATTCACAAAGTTCCCAATTACATATCTTCAGAGATTTCCTAAGCTTCACAGTCTTGAGCCGCTTAATCATGTATCAGTAACGATTCAGATATATTCATTTGGGCTCGCATCCCTCACACGTAGTAGTCGTGACATGCTTAAGCTAAAATGCCATTCGTTTTTCCCTTACCCGTAACTCCCGTAGTTGCAGAAAAAAAGGTATATCAATTCCAATTCGTAATGAACTCAGCATCCCGACATGCTCATGCTTTGCCTCCTCATCACTGCTCCATCGCATCGCCCGCCTTCGTGTCGTCGTCGTCGTCACCCCACAAGCCCTCGAGCTTGAACTCCTTGGTCCATTCCGTGACGATTTCCTTCTGATCCGGCATGACCGTCGGCGCGCCGGGGGAGCCCTGTCTAGCGCTAGGTCCCTTGGTGATTTGGGTCGCGACCGGTAGCACCGGCGCGTCAACCCATCCCTGAATACGGCCGTCGCGCCAGTCCGTCACCACCGTCATCGCAGCGGCGGGCAGATTCGGCACGCCTCCGCGTCCGAGTCGTCCCCGTTTCCGCGCTACCTGCACGAGGAAATCCGTGGTGGGGTCGCCGTTGGGCGCGGTCATGAGGGGCGGGAGGTCGTACACGTCCATCAGCTTCTGGAGCAGCTCCGGCGACGCCGACAGCCTCTTGAGCAGCAGCGTCACGGCCGGGATCGGATCCTCGATTTGCTTGGGGGGGATGGCGTTTAGGAGGATGAGATGAGCGTGGGCCTCGATGGCGTTCTTCTTGGAGGTTGACTCGCCGTTCGGTGCCGAAGGGAAGACGATACCGGGTGAGTCCAGCAGAGTCAGTTTGCTGTCAATCTTGACGGCGCGAATGCTCGTCGTTACGCCAGCCTCGGCGCCTGCAGGACAAGCCGCCGGACCTCGACCGCCCATTCTCGAAAGTAGCGCGTTAATGACGGACGACTTTCCGACATTGGGGTATCCTATGACACCGACCGATATCGCGCGCTTGAGTTGCTTGGATGCCGCGAAGGACTTTAGTGACTTGAAGAGGGTAGACGAAGTGCTTTGAACGGTGAGGTCGCGGTGATTGAAAGTTTGCGCATTGGGGGCGGAACCCGAGGCGCGCAGTGGAAGCGTAGGGAAGTATCTCCGTAGATACGTAAGCCAGTTCTTGAGCGCGTGCGACGGGACCAGATCGATCTTGTTGAGCACGAGCATTAATCTCTTTCCGCCACTCGCTGCTGCCATTACCATGCGCTCAACTTCTCTCGATCTCGTCCCTTCCGGATCTCTGGCGTCTAGAACATAGAGCACGACATCTGCCTGGTCAACTACCTGCTTGAAGACCTTGTCGTGGGCTTTTCGCGACGAAGATTGAGCGCGCAACTCGGCACTTCCATCTTCGAGGTCATCGTCATCAGACTCTTCGTCCTCGTCCATATCGTCCCCGCTCTGTAGTTCGCGATCATACTTTTCGGCAGCAGCGCGGGCGCTGGCGAGGAGGGCTGCCATGGGATTCGACGAGTCATCCACATCGTCCTCGTCCATCGCATCGCTCTGCTCGTCGTCGAAACCCTCAAAGTCCTCTGCCTCTGCGCCATCCATAGCCGCCTCATCATTCTCCGTCTCATCCTGAGCGCCAGTCCTTGCGGCCTTGGCTAGTTCCCTGCGCCGCTGGATTTCCTCTTGCTTCCTCCGTTTACCCTCTTCGATCTCGTGGAGAATCTTCTCCTTGTAGGGGAATAGGTTGGGAATACCCGGATCCTTCTTCAGCTTGGATTTCCATTGGGGGTTCTTCTTGGCTTCCTTTCTAGCTTTACGCTGCTTCGCCGCCGACGCCTTCTCGATCTTGTGCCGTAAACGAACGGGTGTCCGCTTGGACTTGGCCTCTAAATCATGAATTGAATTAGTTAACAACCGAATCATACACAATACACCATTACAAGGGTGATTTGATCGCACATACTCTTCGGCTTGGTGATGTGGTTGGCCATTGTATCTGCTGTACCCGGCAATTCGTTTTAGTCGGGTCTCCTTGATCGCAAATACTTGTCGGGGATTCAGCACAAAAAGTTCTAGGTTAGAAATTTGGTGCAAAAAGTGATTCTGCCGAATTCCACCGCCGCCGATAACGCGCTATCTGCTCTGTCTGCTCCGCCAGGCCCCGCCAATTGGCCTGCCCCACCAACCGATAAGACCCGACTCCCACTGGAAAGACGAAAGACCCTGAAAATTGGATCTTGTTAGTGGTCGACGATGGCTTCAATTCCCGCTTAGACTAAGCTGACCCGGCAAAGCTGCAAGAGGCGGAGTTTCCTATTTCAGCCTAGCCGCTTCGGCCTGTCTCTTCAAGAACTGCTAGGAGCTCACGTATAAAGCCGCTTGTTAAAAGCCAATTGTTTGCCCAAATCCGCTTTTACTTACGAGCATCACTAATTCATGAACGACGGCCATAATCTTTCATCTGCCGTTCCACTTTTCTAATAATATGAAAGCGTTGATAGATTTCATATAGAAGTACTCGAATTCAAGATGGAATACACTACCCCCCCTTTCGAGGTCGCCTTCAAGGGGCTTCTATTCGACATGGACGGCACCATTATCGACTCCACGGCAGCCGTTGTCAAACACTGGCAAACGTGAGTTCTCTCTTACCACATGTCTGTCTTATGAGCCTTTCGGCGGTTCTCTCTCTCTCTCTCTCTCTCTCTCTCTCTCCCTCAAGAAAGAGAAAAGAAGTCGGTCCTATTAAGCCCAGATCTAACCAGGGAGATACTATAGGGTCGGAAGTGAGATTGGCGTGGACCCGGAAGTAATCCTCCAGACGTCTCACGGCCGGCGCAGCATAGACATGCTGAAGGTGCTCAGCCCGGAGAAGGCGAATTGGGAATGTGAGTCTGAACCCCAGAAGCAACACGTTTCAAGCGGTGGCTTTGGCGCTCCTATTCTCCCTTTTCCGTTTTACCCCTTATCTCCCCCCCTTGCGGCTTAAATGGCCCGACTTCAACTTCTTAATATATCATCCCTTATTCTCCAACCTCCCCCCCTCCCCTCCCCCTGATTTACTTCACGGCAATACCTACGCTTCCACCCCGAGCTAAGTCCACACACCGAGCTAACGCCCATCACCAGATGTAAGACACATGGAAGGGCTCCTACCCAAGCTCCACGGCGCCGACGCGACCGAGATCCCAGGCGCGCGAGCTCTGCTAGACTCCCTAATCTCCGCCTCGGCCAAGTGGACGATCGTGACGTCCGGCACGGAGCCGCTCGTCGACGGGTGGCTCGGCGTCATGAAGCTGCCGCGCCCGGCGCACCTGGTGACGGCGGAATCCGTCGCCGACGGGAAGCCGGACCCGGCGTGCTACGTCCTGGGGCGCGAGGAGCTCGGGCTGGGCGCGGGCGACTGCGACGGCGCCGACGTCCTGGTCTTGGAGGACAGCCCCGCGGGCATCCGAGCCGGGAAGGCCGCCGGGTGCAAGGTGCTGGGCTTGGTCACGAGCCACACGGCCGAGCAGGTAGCTGCGGCCGAGCCCGACTGGGTGGTCCGGGATCTGCGGTCCGTGAGGATGGTGGAGGGGGGAAAAGAGGGCGCCGTGACGCTGCGGATATCGGATGCCCTGGCCGCTTAAGCCACTAATAATACCCACGACTGCTGCTGCCGCGGCGAACTGAGACCCCCCGAGATTTGTTCAATGCTCAAGGCGGAAAGAAGGAGGGAGGTAATGAAGAATCGATAAATCAGAGACATTGGAACGAGCTGCGGAACGAAACTTTTTGCACTTTTCGAACTTTACCAGATTTCGTTACCCCGGACGGTAGTCTAGGTGCCTTGACTTGACTACTTACCTGCCTAATCTAAGGTCTAGGCTAGGTGGTAGGCAAAGTACCTGACCTGGCGAAGAAAAAGTGTTGAACGCTACATTCATTCGAAGGCCAAAGCCCTTGCGCCAAGACATATTTCCATTATAGCATCGTGGAGTTTCATTGGGTTCTTATTTTCTTGGCTCTTGGTACCAAACTTTGGGTTATTCTCCATATTATTATTTTCTTTCACATATAGGTCTGCTCTTCGGCATATAGACTGGGGTATCGGGGACCGCGGCGACAGCCAAGAAAATAAACGGAGGCGACTTCCGGAGAAGACGCCCGCACGGGAAAGAAGAAAGAAAAAGGATTACGGCTCGTATTTTTTATTTATTGAAAGTGATGATAGAACAATTAGAATAGATAGAATAGAGTAGAGCAGAATAGGCCCGAGATGTCAAGTGAAGACGGCGTTGATTATATAAACGGCAGCGATCCGAGCTTCCTATTGGCCCGGGAAGCAAATTGAGTCATTGTGGAAAAAGTAACTGACTGAATTACGGAATAGAGCAGCCGGGTTTAAGGTTAGCAAGATGCAAGGCTACATGGCAAGTCAGGCTTGGCTCTTGGATAGTAGAAGAAATGGTATGCAGCTGGGTTAGCAGGTTAGTAAAAGATGGTAGAGGCAGTGTGTGTGCGCATCCCCATACCCATGCCCCCCCCGTCTACCGTCTTGGCGCGGTGATTGCGTTAATGACGATCACCAGAACTATCGGAACTTCGCAGCCTCCTTTTCCCTACCCACTCCCCGCCCCAAGCTGC